GAGAGGAAAATCTACTCCCTTAACAAGAAAAATCAAGCCCTAGAATTTGACACCAAAGCGCCTTCGCTATTTCCAGTCTGAAGCATGTCACCTTTTGCGCTTCCTGCAGAGAACGGCACACGGCACGCGGAGACCACACAGGGGCTGTGGGGCTGCTTCCCTGTTGAACAGCTTCTCATTAGGCCTCGGCAAGCTGTCAGGCTTTCCGATTGAGAAGAAAAATAAAAAGCCCAAACTTTGCATGGCGTCCAGGGTGAGAAATGTTGCACGCAGCCACAGGTGGGGACAGGGGATTGTGGAAACTGTTCAAGGTATTGATAGGGAGAATGAAGTGGTCAGACATCCTTCATCAGGGCTGGCAGGAACCTTAGGAAGAACTTCCTGACTGTGAGAGCCGTTCAGCAGTGGAACTCTCTGCCCCAGAGTGTGGTGGAGGCTCCTTCTTTGGAGGCTTTGAAACAGAGGCTGGATGGCCAACTTTCAGGGACACACTTCAACATTCCTGCTTCTTGGCAGAATGGGGTTGGACTGGATGGCCCATGAGGTCTCTTCCAACTCTTTGATTCTAAAAAAAGTCATGCCAGACTAATCTGATCTCTTTTTTTGGATAGAGTTACAAGCTGGGTAGATGCGGGGAATGCCGTGGATGTAGCGTACCTGGATTTCAGTAAGGCCTTTGACAAGGTCCCCCATGACCTTCTGGCAAGGAAACTAGTCCAATGTGGGCTAGGCAAAGCTACGGTGAGGTGGATCTGTAATTGGTTAAATGGACGAACCCAGAGGGTGCTCACCAATGCTTCCTCTTCATCTTGGAAAGAAGTGACAAGTGGAGTGCCGCAGGGTTCCGTCCTGGGCCCGGTCCTGTTCAACATCTTTATTAATGACTTAGATGAAGGGCTAGAAGACAGGATCATCAAGTTTGCAGACGACACCAAATTGGGAGGGATAGCCAATACTCCAGAGGACAGGAGCAGGATTCAAAACGATCTTGACAGATTAGAGAGATGGGCCAAAACTAACAAAATGAAGTTCAACAGTGACAAATGCAAGATACTCCACTTTGGCAGGAAAAATGAAATGCAAAGATACAGAATGGGGGACGCCTGGCTCGAGAGCAGTACGTGTGAAAAAGATCTTGGAGTCCTCGTGGACAACAAGTTAAACACGAGCCAACAATGTGATGTGGCGGCAAAAAAAGCCAATGGGATTTTGGCCTGCATCAATAGGAGCAGTGTCTAGATCTAGGGAAGTAATGCTACCCCTCTATTCCGCTTTGGTTAGACCACACCTGGAATATTGTGTCCAATTCTGGGCACCACAATTCAAGAGAGATATTGACAAGCTGGAATGTGTCCAGAGGAGGGCGACTAAAATGATCAAGTGTCTGGAGAACAAGCCCTATGAGGAGCAGCTTAAAGAGCTGGGCATGTTTAGCCTGAAGTAGAGAAGACTGGGAGGAGACATGATAACCATGTATAAATACGTGAGAGGAAGTCATAAGAGGGAGGAGGGAGCAAGCTTGTTTTCTGCTGCCCTGAAAACTAGGACACAATGGAACAATGGCTTCAAACGACAAGAAAGGAGATTCCATCAGAACATTAGGAAGAACTTCCTGACTGTGAGAGCCGTTCAGCAGTGGAACTCTCTGCCCCAGAGTGTGGTGGAGGCTCCTTCTTTGGAGGCTTTGAAACAGAGGCTGGATGGCCAACTTTCGGGGACACATTCCAACATCCCACAGTATATCAAAATGCCTTTGGATGTCAATATAAACCAGATCCTCGTCATGTCCACCCTTCTGCTGTAATATGAACCCTTCATTATCCTAACTGCTCCCAATTTTGTCTGAAATCAATTTAGAGATCTAGAAACAACTTCTTTGGCTACTACACTAGAAACTCACTGCATGGATCTACGTAGAAGCAGGGATTGAATCCTTTAGGTATAGCAGAATCATGAGAAGAAACAAGACAGAGGGTTGCTATGAGTTTTCTGGGCTGTCTGGCCATGTTTCAGAAGCATTCTCTCCTGACGTTTCACCCACATCTCTGGCAGGCATTCTAAGGATTATTTCTGCGTTTGATTTATTAAAATATTCCCATCAAAGCCCAAGTAACGAAGGTGGATGCATTACTTTCCATTCAAGGTATAGCAGAACCATGAGAAGAAACAAGACAGAGGGTTGCTATGAGTTTTCTGGGCTGTCTGGCCATGTTTCAGAAGCATTCTCTCCTGACGTTTCATCCACATCTCTGGCAGGCATTCTAAGGATTATTTCTGCATTTGATTTATTAAAATATTCCAATCAAAACCCAAGTAACGATGGTGGATGCATTACTTTCCATTCAACCCTTGTACTATGTGGAACTATTGACTCTCTAGATGTTTTATTTATTTATTTATTTTTATTTACTTTATTTGTATACCGCTGTTCTCAGCCCGTAGGCGACTCACAGCGGTTAAAACAGAACAGCAAAAATTCGATACTACAATAACACGGTATAAAAACAGTTAACATCATAACACCTTATACAATAATATACAATTAACAACAATAGCCATTCACTAATGTCTCATCACTAAAAACATGATCCAGATCCGTCATCCATTGTTCCATTCCTATGCTCATTACACTCATTGCACTGACTATTCGAACGCCTGCTCAAACAACCAAGTCTTCACTTTTTTGCGGAATACCATTAATGATGGAGCTAGTCTAATATCCGTGGGAAGGGCATTCCACAGCCGAGGGGCCACCACCGAGAAGGCCCTATCTCTCGTCCCTGCCAGCCGTGCCTGTGAGGCAGGCGGGATCGAGAGCAGGGCCTCCCCGGAAGATCTCAAAGTCCTAGTGGGTTCATAGGCAGAGATGCGGTCGGATAGGTATCTTGGGCCGGAACCATTTAGGGCTTTAAACGTCAACGCCAGCACTTTGAATCAGGGCCGTAGCCAGAAAAAAATTTCGGGAGGGGGTGAAATTTTCGGGGGGGGGGGGGTTGAAAATTTCGGGGGTGGGGGTTGAAACCTGCCTCCTAGCTCACGCTGAAGCAAAGAGCACAGCAGGGGGCAGAGCAGCCTTCAATAGCCTGCAGCTCCACCCTTGTCAACCACCTCCACCAAGTCTGGCCTCCTTAATGAGAGCATTCAACATCCCCCCCCCCAACTTGGTTGCTTCACTACTGTTCTGTCGCGTGCTGGGCCTGTAAATAATTGTCTTTAGAACAGGATGTGCAACCCTTGCCCAACGGGAAGCCAGGGGGCCTAAAGAGAAGTTTTCAGAGGTTTCCACCACAAACAGTCTTTAGATGGCTTGAGAAGTACAACAAAGTCTTTTATTAATGAACAATCAAACAGAAACTTCTCTTGTCTTCAGTAAAGTTAAGCAAATGATTCCAAGCTTTTAGGCAACTGGTGAATTCCTAATCTTGCCCACGAAGGACAGGCAACTGTCTTCAATAACTTCTTCTTTAAAGGAAAATCCCCATTTTAACTTCTCCCAGGCTGACTGTAATCTAACCCTTACTGATGTGGGCTCCGCTACCGGGTCGAACTGCGTCTCGAACGCCGAGTGGACCTACCAGCAGGGCAGTAGATGTTTTCCAGCTGGAGTTCTTTGGTCTTTAGGGCTGTTTTCCTGGAAATTCTTTGGAGATTCTTAAGACCTTTCTCCCCCGGAAGGTCTTAAGGATTGAAGCTGTTGTACAGGGGAAGCTTGCACACATCTTATACATAAGCTTACCTTGCTGAGACTAACTAAAAATGGCTCCCTTCCCTTCTCAATTGCCCTGAGCAAGGGGCGGGACCAAAATTTAACAATGATGGACAGGTGACTTGCCCTATGACTGCAACCAAAGGAAGCCACCTCTCTGCAGAGTCCCTGAAACCTAGGACTGCAAGCAAACATTTAATACAAAGCAAATAAAGTTGGAGCTCCTGGTACAGCTGTACCAGAACAACTACATCGGCTATTGCTGCAAGTAATGACAGTGTGAATAAATTGCTAATATTTGCTTGAGATAGTGCTTGCAATTATGGAGGGACTCTTGATTTTTTGCATCTCATAGACTTAGCGTGGGGATTTGGTTAACCAGTTAAAATTCATGAGTAAACCAGGTTTTTTTAAAAAATGTGAAACATTTCGGGGGGGGGGGTTGAACCCCTAACCCCTCCCCCCCCCCTCGCTACGGGCCTGCTTTGAATTGAGCCCGGTAGCAAATCGGTAGCCAGTGGAGTTGGCACAAAAGGGGGGTTGTATGCTCTATTTTGGACGGCAATTCCCTGAATCTTCAGCATTTGAGTCAACAAGCATTTGTGGAGGTTCTTGCCCGACACCACAGTTTCCCACCCCTACCACAGACAAAACCAAAGAAGAATAAGTCTTTTTCCCCCATCCTGAAAACTGAAATGAGATCAGCCACCTCCATGTCCAACACCTTAGAGCTATCTTAAAACCTTCATTCAGAATGTGGGGATTTTTGTTTATGTTTTTGCAAGAACTATTTGCATGCTTACAAGGAGACGTATATACTACATCAACTCAATTTATATCATCGCCTCTCACCTTTGCTGCTGGTGAGAGGGTCAAACGTGTTAAGAGATGAGCGGATGGTTGAATATCACAACTTTCAGAAAAATCTTCATCACTGTAAGCAAGTCAAAGAGGAGATTGCCCAACCCGCACAAGTGTTTCCTTGCTTTTCTGCATTCACCCAAATGCCAGCATGAAAAAGCAACGACTGGAACAGGAAAACAACAACTTCAGCATCTCTGAATGGCAAACATCAAGTATCGTCACCATGAGACACTGGCCAGTGACAGAAAGATTTACAGCTAGATCAAAGGTTTCTTTATTTGGGAAAATAAACAATGCGTTTTGCCATCTGACTGTTGATATCCTTTGAAGCAGAAAGTCATCCATTATCTGAAATACGCATGGCTCAGTAAATCACAGAACATAAATGCAAAGTCGAAAAGTGACCTGGGGGGTCGTTTTCTCTCCTTACCTCTATGTCTGTTGGTGGTCTTGTCAAACATAAGCATAGCATCCTCTACCTGAAAGAGAGAAGAAAGAGTCCCGCTTAGGAATTGTGGAGCTAGTTGCAAGATGAGGCTGGAGCAGTTGAGCGATACGAGCAGTGAGAAATGCAACCTAGACCCATAACTTGTGTAGCACGAGGGAGCGACATATCAGTATGGATTTCAAACAAAAAATAGGTTTCAAGGCATTTATGAATTATTATTTATTATTTATTTCAGATATTTGTACCCCGCTCTTCTCAACCCCCCCGGGGGGGGGGGGGTAATAATAATAATAATAATAATAATAATAATAATAATAATCTTTATTTGTACCCCGCTACCATCTTCCCAAGGGACTTGGTGCGGCTTACATGAGGCCAAGCCCAAAGTACATCAAACGAAACACCAATAAACACAACATCAATAAACAATCAATAAAATACAAATCATATAAATCACATAAACAAAAAACAATCAATAGTGATATAAACAATTTTAAAAATGGTCGGGCCAAACGTAATAGATTAAAATTGAAAACATGCTGACGTGAACAAGGTAAAATATAACTAGGATAGGATTTTTCGGAGAGAAATGAGGGATGGTCTTTGGCGACCCCTCTGACGCCCCCTCGCAACCCCCCAAGAGTTCCGACCCTCAGGTTGAGAAACGTCGATCTACAGAGATACTCGCAGGAACACCTCAGCAAACAAGAGCCCAAAAGCGGCAGGCTAAAACCTGGAACCTCAATCAGTGGCTGAGACTGGATGAGAAACTCCCTCCTGTGCACAGAGAGGACTGGACGACTAGGAAGATACTCAGGGCAGATTCCAGACAGCAACAATTTGCTGCCTCCAATGTACACATAATAAAATCTATATAAATAAAAATGTAATGTTCGTTTGTGGGATTAACATAACTCAAAAACCACTGGACGAATTGACACCAAATTTGGACACAAGACATCTAACAACCCAATGTATGTCCTTCACTCAAAAAATTGATTTTGTCATTTGGGAGTTGTAGTTGCTGGGATTTATAGTACACCTACAATCAAAGAGCATTGTGAACTCCACCAATGATGGAACTGAACCAATCTTGGGACACAGAATTCCCATGACCAACAAAAAACACTAGAAGGGTTTGGTGGGCATTGTCCTTGACTTTGGGAGTTGTAGTTCACCTATATCCAGAGAGCACTTTGGACTCAAACAATGACGGATCTGCACCAGACTTGGAACAAATACTCCATATGCCCAAATATAAACACTGATAGAGTTTGGGGGAAATAGACCTTGATATTTGGGAGTTGTAGTTTCTGGGATTTATAGTTCACCTACAATCAAAGAGCATTCTGACCCCCACCAACGACAGAATTGGGGCAAACTTCCCACACAGAACCATCATACTTAAGGCCATCCAGTCCAACTGGGATTTTGGCCTGCATCAATAGGAGCATAGTGTCTAGATCTAGGGAAGTAATGCTACCCCTCTATTCCGCTTTGGTATTCCAGACCAGTATTCCAGACCACACCTGGAATACTGTGTCCAATTCTGGGCACCACAATTCAAGAGAGATATTGACAAGCTGGAATGTGTCCAGAGGAGGGCGACTAAAATGATCAAGGGTCTGGAGAACAAGCCCTATGAGGAGCGGCTTAAGGAGCTGGGCATGTTTAGCCTGAAGAAGAGAAGGCTGAGAGGAGATATGATAGCCATGTATAAATATGTGAGAGGAGGCCACAGGGAGGAGGGAGCAAGCTTGTTTTCTGCTTCCTTGGAGACTAGGACGCGGAACAATGGCTTCAAACGACAAGAGAGGAAATTCCATCTGAACATGAGGAAGAACTTCCTGACTGTGAGAGCCGTTCAGCAGTGGAACTCTCTGCCCCGGAGTGTGGTGGAGGCTCCTTCTTTGGAAGCTTTTAAACAGAGGCTGGATGGCCATCTGTCAAAGGTGATTTGAATGCAATATTCCTGCTTCTTGGCAGGGGGTTGGACTGGATGGCCCATGAGGTCTCTTCCAACTCTTTGAATCTATGATTCTAGTGTCTCTGCTGCAGCTGATGCCCATATGGTGACATCCAGACCTCTCATCTGGACACCAGCATTGGAAAGGCCAGCGGAGAAGGCTTTCCGCTCCCATCTGCTCCACTAGGAGGAGATGCTGAACTGTCCAAGCCTGATTCCGGCGGCGGATCACGCCCTGGCAGCTGGGCAGTGGTTCCTCTTACCTGGGAGATGGTACAGCAGAGAAACACATAGCTATGAGAAAAACCAAACCAAGATAAAATGGATACAATTCTTCCTGCCTTAAGGGAGCTCTCAGAAGTACAAAGAACCATGAAGAAACCCAATCCCCGATAAAATGGATACAACACCCGAGGAGTGCCCTAAACAAAAGCCTCTTTGTCCAAAAGGCCTCTCCTGAAAATGAGCCCACTTCCCCCCATCCCCTTCCCAAACACATCTCCCTGAGACAGTTTAGGCGGGGGGGGGGGGGGGGGGGGTAACCAGAGTCCCGCCCACTAGGAAGCCAAAAGAGACCCAGGCTGAAAATGTGAGGCCATGACCTTCTTTCAGCAAAGCCACTGAACCGAAAGAGGTCCCCACAGGGTGTCCCACGGAGAAAACGGTTCAGCCACAAAGAGATTCAAAGGCCCTTTGGAAAAGGAAGGAGGTGGAGGAAGGAGAGGGGGAGAAGTTACATTTGCATGGATTCTGGCATTTCCACTCCAGACTGACCAAATGTATCCAAGTGTGACAAAAAGAGGACTTTCAAAGGTTTCACCTATTTATCTGCATGGTTTAGCACACCTTTACTTGATCGCTGCAGCCACACCGAGATTTGAGGCTGATCTTCAAGAGCAGTGTTTCTCCGTCGTCCTAATGCCGTGACCCCTTAATACAGTTGTGACCCCCAACTGTAACATTATTTTCATTGCTACTTCATACTTTGATTTTGCTACTGTTATGAATCGTCATGTGAATAACTGATATTTATTTCTCGTGTCAGGGCAGCCGGTCAATTATATTACATTTCTAACAGAACAAAGCAAACAAACAGAGAAAATACAAAATGTGTGAGTTTGGTAGTTGATTAAATGTCCTTTGACCAGTATCTGGCCACTTGGAGTGCTTCTGGTGTTGCTGCAAGAAGGTCCTCCATTGTGCATGTGGCAGGGCTCAGGGTGCATTGCAGCAGGTGGTCAGTGGTTTGCTCTCCTCCGCACTCGCATGTCGTGGACTCCACTTTGTGTCCCCATTTCTTAAGGTTGGCTCTGCATCTCGTGGTGCCAGAGCGCAGTCTGTTCAGCGCCTTCCAAGTCGCCCAGTCCTATGTGTGCCCAGGGGGGAGTCTCTCATTTGGTATCAGCCATTGGTTGAGGTTCTGGGTTTGAGCCTGCCACTTTTGGACTCTCGCTTGCTGAGGTGTTCCAGCGAGTGTCTCTGTAGATCTTAGAAAACTATATCTGGATTTAAGTCGTTGACGTGCTGGCTGATATCCAAACAGAGGATGAGCTGGAGATGTCTCTGCCTTGGTCCTTTCACTATTGGCTGCCACTTCCCGGCGGATGTCAGGTGGTGCGATACCGGCTAGACAGTGTAATTTCTCCAGTGGTGTAGGGCGCAGACACCCTGTGATAATGTGGCATGTCTCATTAAGAGCCACATCCACTGTTTTAGTGTGGTGAGATGTGTTCCACACTGGGCATGCATACTCAGCAGCAGAGTAGCACAGTGCAAGGGCAGATGTCTTCACTGTATCTGGTTGTGATCCCCAGGTTGTGCCAGTCAGCTTTCGTATGATATTGTTTCTAGCACCCACTTTTTGCTTGATATTCAGGCAATGCTTCTTGTAGGTAAGAGCATGGTCCAGAGTGACTCCCAGGTGTTTGGGTGTGCTGCAATGCTCCAGTGGGATTCCTTCCCAGGTGATCCTTAGAGCTCAGGATGCTTGTCTGTGAAATAAGATGGGAAATAAGGTTGGGGGAATAACACATCCCTGTTTGACGCCTGATTCCACCTTAAATGGGTCACTTTGGGAGCCACTGCTATCCAAGACTGTTGCCATCATGTCATCGTGGAGGAGCCGCAGGATGTTCACAAATTTGCTTGGGCACCCGATTTTGTGGAGGATGGTCCAGAGAGCACTGCATTCAATGTGTTGAGTGCCTTTGCAAGGTCAATGAATGCAATGTACAGAGGCTGATTTTGTTCCCTGCATTTTTCTTGCAGATGTCATGCAGTGAAGATCATGTCCACGGTTCCTCTGGAGGGTTGGAAGCTATTCTGGGATTCTGGGAGGGTGTCTTCTGAGAGGGGTAGAAGGCGGTTTGCAAGGATTCCTGCGAGGATTTTCCCAGCGGAGGTTAGAAGGGAGATACTTCGATAGTTTCCACAGTGATAATATTAAGAGCCACATCCACTGTTTTAGTATGGTGAGATGTGTTCCACACTGGGCATGCATACTCAGCAGCAGAGTAGCACAGCGCAAGGGCAGATGTCTTCACTGTATCTGGTTGTGATCCCCAGGTTGTGCCAGTAAGCTTTCGTATGATATTGTTTCTAGCACCCACTTTTTGCTTGATGTTCAGGCAGTGCTTCTTGTAGGTAAGAGCACGGTCCAGAGTGACTCCCAGGTATTTGGGTGTGCTGCAATGCTCCAGTGGGATTATGCCAGATGTATTGTCGAAGGCTTTCATGGCTGGAATCACTAGGTTCATGTAGGTTTTTTCGGGCTATAGGGCCATGTTCTAGAGGCATTTCTCCTGACATTTCACCTGCATCTATGGCAAGCATCCTCAGAGGTAGTGAGGTCTGTTGGAAATAGGAAAATGGGTTTATATATCTGTGAAATGACCAGGGTGGGACAAAGGACTCTTGTCTGCTGAAGCTAGGTGTGAATGTTTCAGCTGACCACCTTCATTAGCATTTGAAGGCTTGGCTGAGCCTGGGAAAATGTTCTGTTGAGAGGTGTTAAGATGTGCCTCATTTAATATTAAGCTTGGTGCACATACTTTTACTGGTAGCCA